ATGCATCGAGGTTTCTCAGTTTGGCATCCACGTTAAAGCTCCATAGCATTGGCATTAGTATTGCATGGAGAGTTTATATTTTTATGGCCGCTTTGAAAACACGTTGGTTACAAAATTTGACCGCTTGGGGGAGAGGGGGGGAAGCGTGCTGTATTGGCACACTTGCAGACCCATATCGTCGTCCGGTTTTTTCAAGAGTGTCGTGGGGCCTCGTTAGGGCCGCACTCGAGCGGACAAGGGAACGAGCCGAATGCCTCCTCTGAGAAGCACGTGCTCTTTAGTGCCCCCGCTCTTGACTTGCTGCTGAGGGCCGGTACGAAGGTTCGAAGCGGTGAACCTTGTATAACCAGCGTTCTATGGACCCTCCAGGAATGAGCTTAAAGATTTTTGGACAAAGGCAGTTAGGAACTGCTCAGAAGCTGCCATCAATTACATTGTGCTGCTGAGTACATAATTGAAAGCCTCCTTGTTTGAAAAGATTGGAATGGGCATTTCCTGTGCTGCCTTGTTTGGGCAACTGGGGCAACTGGGCCAACTGGCCCCATTTGCTAGCAAAATATCAAAGTGAATATCTGGGTGTGCCAGGGAATTTATGTTATCTTAATGAGCCTGGGGATGTCCCACAAGGAAACAGCTTTAAATACACTTGAAGCGTTCGCAAACAAACAGAATTACAATTCCTCTCGATTGTAGTTTTCGCTGGATAAAAACGATTCTTTAACATTACGAGCAAATTTATGGATTTGCTAAATAGCGTTGAGTGTGGCTTTTATGCCAAGGGTGCGGAGGACTTTTTTTGTCTTTTTTTCTTCCAATTATATTACAGTTGGCTTATTGGCATAATGTTGTGAGATTTGCCTGTTGGAGCTCTCTCGCATTGTATCAGGGAATGGCCCTGCAGGATGAATTCAGGAAATAACCCTGCAGGATGAATTCACGGAACTGTCGAAATCACTTGGATGTCTTATCCAAGGTTTTACGCCATTGTGCTCTGAAAAAATAATGGTCAAAGGGGTGGGAGTAAAACCATGCATTTTTCATTATCAGAGCTAGAATATGCTAAAGCAAGTGACAACCAAATTCAAAATTATTGTGTAGTCATTGGTGACCAGGCTGAGAACATGGACTCTGCTACACTTGAGAACCCGTCTTCATCACGGGTGGGTGAAACTTTTGACTCAAACCCAGGAATCTCTGCATGCTCATTGCTCGAACACAGTATATTAGACCTCCACCCTGAGCGGTCCAGCCACCTCCAGTATGCACACATCTTGATCGCACCTGTGCCTCTTCACTTAGCCCAAGTGAGGGCGATGTGAACGCTGCTGTGTGGCTGCTGCAGGTGTAAATCCTGGCCAGATGCCACGGCCTAAATTTCCTCTCCCTTCTAGGCCTTGGGGCCAAAATGGAAGCTGCTGTTGAGCCATGTTAATTCAGCGTAGTGTTAATAATATCTCGTTACTTAACCGCCCGCTTTCCAGTGTGGTGTCTATTAGTGGAGTGTATTTATAGCCCGAGGTGCAATAATCCATGCAGTCATTAAGCCGGGTGGGCTGGGTGGGGAAAGAACTCGCCTTGTCTCCCCGTCCTCTGTAATTGAAGCTGTGACTGCTCAAGGTTCTTTTCATGTTTGCTGCAGACCCTTTTGGAGATGGCCGTGTGGTTCTGGGGGCTAATGCTGTGTCAGAGCGGTGCTGACCTGGCAGCATTGAGATTCGGGGGTTTGCATTTGTGATTCAGTCGTTCTTGATTATGCATGATGGTTTTCAGTATGGTCACCAATGACTCTGGCATAGTCCAACTCTTGAGGATTAAACATGTCAGCTAACCATAAGAAAAAAAACCCACTGTCAGGACTGTTAAAGGTGTGTCCTGAGTGTGTATAAAGAAGCATCTCGAATTGATTTCATAAGTAAGTTTTGTTACACCATCTTCTGGGGGTCATTCTCCCCCCCTCCCCCCCCTGGCCTTCGACATGATTGGCTCACAAGTGACGACACTACGTTCATCCCTCTATTTAAGACCGAAGCAGGAGGATTTTTCCACAACTCTGGCTGTCTGCCTGATGATGCATGTTTTATTTGCCTGCGAAACGTCGTACTCAAAATTGTAAATGTTATTGCTTTTACTCTCCAACACACGGGTGTGCTGAACTAGTAACGAATTGGCATTTTTTGTTTATGTGACAAACCTTACTAATTGGCTGTGTCGGGTGGTGGTGGGTTTAACGACATTTATATTTATGCGATCTGGCACAAAAACTTATATTATGGACAAGATGGTGCACTGCCCAATTTTCAGATGTCCCTGTCTAAATGCATTTAGCTCAAAACATTGCTCCAATATGACAAGAGAAATATAATTTTGGGTAAAAATAATTAAAAGTTCCCCATTTTCACCATGGAATATTTGAAGTGATTAATCTACTGGGCTGGTTTTTCACGGTTCTTAAATGGGGTCTACTTGGTCCTTGACAGCAAGGGGAATAATTGTACTGTCGCCACTTCGCTTGAGCTCATTCACTGACGTCATCAGTAATTCTCATCTCGCTTATGAACTAATGCACTGCCTGCTGAAAATCTGTTTATATTTACAAATGCGAAGATGAAGGCTGCAAAGTAAATACCTATACAGTAGTCCCTCGGTTAAGTTTTTTAATCCGTTCCACGAAAACTACCAGTAACCGAAATTACTTAATCGAATATAGGAATTACATGTTAAAAGCATTAACAATAAAGCCAGTCGAGGTCTAAACGCTCAGAAATGAGCATCGCTGATTGTATAACGTAAACATACCGTTAATCAAAAATTTTACGTGAGTTGAAACTATGGGGTCTTATGGGAGTCGAAGCGTTTACCGAAAAACCATTAACCGATGTCACTGTTCCATTTCGGCACATGTTATGTGGCCCCGTGGTGCTGGGCTCGCAGGCAGAGTTCAAATCCCACTCAAATGTTAACTCAGCCCTTCCGTCGTTCCTCTACGGTAAAAAAAAATATTGAAGACCGTGTTGTAGGAATTCCAAGCCATCTTACGGAGAGATTGACCCCCCAACGATGGGAATGAGGAAATTTCACCGACTGGCCCGTTGTTGTCAGTGGAGATGATAATTATCCGATGTGCGTTTGAGCAGGGAGATATCGACTTGAACTCATTTGCAAGTAGCTGGCTGTTGCTGAAACTGCTGCTGTACTCGCTGTACCTTGACCATAATGCAGACTTCCACCATAACTGTCTTGCAGTTACTCAAAGGAAGTGGAAATCTGAAGTGACAGATTCTTAAGCAATGGACTTGACTTGCAGTGCACTTGCTGGGCTCACTGAAATTTGGATTAAATACAGTATTTAAAATATCTGCTCATGCATGTGTATTGACAGTGCTTTGTTGCTTTTTAGAGATTGACCGTTCTACCGGCAATAACAACTTTATTGTGTAACCCTTTGCGAGAAAAACCTGGAAAACCAGATACGCATGGACATGTCATTTATTTAAAATACCCCAAAAATAGTTGCAGATATTTCAAAAGAGGATTAGGCTGCATAATAACAATTAAAATATAATTTGTCTAGAAAGCGTCGCCTAGTCTCAAGACTTAATTTTAGAGAGCCCAGCATTGCTCTCCATGGCTTATTCGTGTTTGGGGGGGAGGGGGGGTTAAGGTGTATATTTGTGACTCAAGTCGTATGTAGTCGTGGGCAGCTGTGGATTAGTGGTGAGGTCTAAGTTCATGACAACATGTTGAAGCCACTCCCTAAGGCATTGAGACAGTTACCTGCTCTTTTGAATTTATCTACAGCATGCTTAAAATCTATTTTACAAAATGCTGTGCACTTCAGTGATTTTGGGGGATGTCTGTGCACAAAGATCTGCTTATCTGCTTAATACACCAACTCAATCGTCAAAGCACTGGATCACAGACGTGTGCCACCACCACCACCATCACGCCCTTCTTCATAGTCTCCATCGTCCAATATAATATATAAAGTTTGAACATCTGTCATTACTGCCACTGTAAGACCAATATCCATACAGTGTTTTCACCCACTCTCAATCACTGCCATACTAAGACATATGAAGTGTCCTGCTCAACTGAACCAAATGATGAATGACACTGCTAAATTAGTCCCTGGCTTTGCAATGGAAATATTAGTCTTGGTACTTTCATGCAGCCCGCACTCAGCGCGTGTGTGACCCTTTCACTTCCTTGGACTATTGATGGCGTTCTACTCTCTCTGTGCAAGTGTGGCTGCACTTAACTGTGCTCTCTGGAAAGCCCATGTTGAGAGTTGAATCCTTGATAGGACAGACTGTGATGTGTGCGTGTGTTTTCTTGCTGTGCGCGGTCAATTTGCCTCTATTCCTGTCTTGCTGAGCATGCCTGCCGTTCGATTTGCTATCAATCCTGGGGCTCGGTTACTGAGTGAGCCACAGTGCTGAATGTGTATGTGGTTCCTTTACTACTTATAATGTCATGAAGGCGCATTAACAAATCCGTGACTGCACCGACCTTCCAGCGTTCAAATCATTGACTAAAACTCACCTTTTTAAAATTGCTTTTAATGTTTAGCTAAGTTTAATGTGTTTCTAGTGTTTTTACCATTTGATGTTGTTTTTGCTGCTTTTATGGTTTTATGTAAAGTGTCTTTGAGTATTCAGAAAAGCGCTCACAAATACAATGTATTATTATTAAATGTTAACCCAATTACAGTTTGACATTCGCTGATCTACCTCGCAAGCAACAAAGTAAAAACACTGGTTAACTAATAATAATAGGTTTTTACCCTTTTATAAAAACCTATTATTATATCTTGCTACTGGCAAAGGAGGTCTCATAATGTAAAAGCTTACCCGAGCTCTCAATACTCTGATGGTGCATTGTCTTTGAGTTGTGCGCCTTTTGGCGTCATCTGGTCCAACACCATGTGAGACTGGGCTCTTAAGAAAAGCTGTCTGGGGTGTGGGCCAATCAATTTCAAGGACAGTGCACACATTATCAGTGTTGTCTTTTTGTTTGCATTTTGACCCTTGTAAAAAGGTATCAGTTTTGTTGCCAGATTAAAGAGTAAAAACCTATTACATCTTGCTACTGGCAAAGGAGATCTCATAACTGGTTAGCTAGTGACCTTATTTTTTTCCATTTTATTTTTTATTCTTGCTCACTCCAGTCGCGCGAATGTAACATTTGTATATAATTTGTGTAAATTTTGCATGAACCATAAATACATTGAAATTTCACCTGTCTACTCTCCTTTTGTCGACGCTTATTAGCCGACGTTATTATCTGCGCGGGATGTTTTTTTGAATGTGTGAATAACATGAATGCTCCCTGAAGACGGGGGTTTACCACACCCAGACGTGTGTGCCCTGGTGCTCGGAAGTGCGAACCAATAATCTTGGCTAGGTTTATGCGGCCTCTCGACTCGGCTCTCCCATTTAGTTTAGTCTTTGTTCGCAGTGCAATCATTGATCGTATTAACGCATCAGCTGATCCATCCTCGCCGTACAGTGCAGTGCTCCCAACCTTTAATTCTGTTACTCGTTCATCCCCCCGCGTGGCTGCATTAAAACTGCAGCCCATTTAGCGGCCGCTGTCAGCGGTTAACAAGTCTCACTGAAGCAGGGAGCTGTGTTGATACATTTTTCACGCGCGTGCGAGCGGTGAGGGGGATCTTCGATTAAGTTTTGGTCTTGTTTCGAGCAAACACGAAATATTACGCTCAGTTGGAAAGTGTGGAAGTAAGCGTCTGTAATTTTCCGTGGCTCATTAAAACGGCTGCCATGATCGCACAAGTAATTTTTTGTTACATTTTTATATTGATTCCTACAATAATTAGATCAGTAGTGTCGTGTTTATTGTGGATTTATTTTGGAGTGTTATATTTTACATTGCTTTACTTCTTGACATTTATTCATTACGAATTTAGGTTAAAGTAAGTGAAGTCTTTGTCCGTTTGTGTTGAAACAAGGCTTTGGGAGGTGCTCAACTCTGTTGGTGGCCTTGATCCAGTGGTGGAAATTCCACATTACTATTGCAGGTACAAGTCTCTTCTAGAAGTCACCAAGGTAGGCTCCAGAGGCTTGGCGACCAATGGAGGCCCTAGAGTCACCGATGCTAAAGATCAGCTGTGGGCTGCGCAACAGTTTCCGGGATCTAGCAGCAGGGAGGAAGAGATGGCGATGTGTGGTGGAAACAGCGGCAATGCCTGTGGTCATCTCCTGACCTTTGGGTGACTGCTATTGCCCTCTCACAATGGTGTAGGCTAAATTATTTACATCAAATCTGCATACTTATTTCCCCTGGGGTTTTTTTTTCACTGATTTTGATTTACACAAATATATTCCACTGACAAACCTTAGTGTTTGTTTAAGCTCACCTGTATTGTGTTACACCCACGTCTTTCTAGATTGAGATGTGCCGTCTCAATGGACTCACACCTGGTTTTCACAAAAAAGCCTTTGTTTAACTGATGGACCGATTGATGGGCAAAGTGGCTGGAGTGCAGTGCCCTTTTTGACTATGAGGCTCAGTCAATGTAAACACCCTACACTCTCAGCTGTGCGCCATTGGTTAGCTGGGAGTGGGGTGTTTATGTTGACTGCCTTAAGCAAGCTGCACAAACTGCAATGCTCCTGGCGAGGGGGAAGAATGGGCAAGCAGGCTTCCATTCAGCCCACGCAGTCGCTCACAGTGGTGAGGTACGGGATTAATGTTTAATCCGAACCTACTGCTGTCCATTGTTTATGCTGGTTGATTCGGTAAGTTGCTTGTTTACTTATAGGTTGATTGGTGGTCAGAGAAGAAGTTGGTTCATGTCGATAGCTCTTATATTTTCTGCGTTGAAAAATAATACGTAGGCCTTGTGTTAAGGGCTGCCCGGCACAAAGTTTGAAGCATCACGTGTGAAAAAAAAAAGCATTTGAAGTCACGGTCAGCAGAGATGTCGTGATGTCACTGCAGTGTTGTATTTGATTGTACATAGTGGCACAGCACTGATGTTACCAGAGCACTCCTGGGTAACCTTAAATGACTCATCTCAGGAAGAAAGCTTCGAAACGTGTGTTTCACAGCCTTAGCCGCAGCCTAGGGGTGTAACTACAAGGCAAGGGCTGTTTGTTTTTGGTTGTCTTTGTAAATTTTTCTGTGTATTCCAAGATTTTATGTATAAATACATAGCCTGCTCAGTGTCTGGATATGCTATGCTTTTTTAATAGTGTTCAGCCCTGAAATCGTGTTGATCCTCAAAACAGTTTATAAATACGCATATTTAAAAAAAGAATACCGCTAAAAAGTCTGGCTGGCTTGTACAGTGATTTGAGATCATACTTAAAACACTGGAAAATGTTAATAAAGCTGACGTGTTTAAAATGTTGACATATAAACAGGTTTAAATAAACAGTAGTTTTTCATTACCAGATATTGTGTAGGAAACAGACCTTTAAACAGCCAAAATGGACATGTATCCCATATTAGAATAACAAACCAGTCCTTGTTAATGCTATATATGTGGACCCAGCAGATGACAATGCAGCATGTATCTTGAAAGTATTTTTTTATGATTAAATCACATTCTTACCTTTGCATGTTTTCTTCTTTTAGTAGTAGTCTTCCATCACGGAGTCTCTAAAGTATTGAAATACAGCAGAGCTGAAAAGCACAAGGTACGTATGTGTGTGTGTGGTGTGTGAGGTGTTTGTGTGAATGTAGAAACAAAAAGCTGACCAAAAGCTGATAAGGCTTTCAATATGTGCGTGGGACGCATTGGCCAACAAAATTATTGCCGTGCCTCAACCCTCACCAAATTGTCAATCGGACATGGGACCCATCCAGGGGCGGGGCCACAGGGGGGGCTGAGGGGGGCTTAGCCCCCCTGAAATTTTCGTCAAGTCGGTAATCGTGATAACTGGTTATCCGGCTGCTGCAAAATTCTGGCTGCCACCTTGTGCTGCCCTGCAGACTGCTTGAGCGGCAGCCTTTCGAACTTATCGAACTTATTAGCCACATCAGCGGCTCTGACCTTTTAACAAACTCCGCGTTCAAATCCAATAAAATTTGTTTTGTACATTTGTGGCGCCCATTGGAAAACATACACACTGGATATCTCAGAATATTGAAGTCAGCCCCCCCCCAAAGTCAAAATCCCTCTGCCCCAGGACCCCACCTGACCTTTGTTCTACCCCCACACTCGGTGCTTGGCCATGGGCTCATTTTGACTTTAAAATTGTAAGTTTTATTGCTTGCAGAACAATGCATTTCACACAATGCATGTTGTGTCCGTGACCTGACGCATAGAGGACTTTTGCGGTCAGCCGCGGATGGTCAAGGCACAGGGGGTGCGATCGGCTAACTGTCTGTACCTCAATACATTTTTGACGAAACGTCAAACCTGCAATGAGAAACTTGCAAAGTTTGAGTGTACCTCTAGCGGTTTGTGAACATCGTGGGCTTTGGTGTCTTTTAACAGGCACCCACAAAACCACTTTTCCCAACAGTTTGTAAGATTATACAGGAATAAGGGCCGCAGGTTGATGTAAAATAACGATCGTGGTGAAATTTCTAGGATTTATTATTGTTGAAATTTTTAAACTGGTACAAAATGTGGAAAATTACACGACATTGTTGTTTTTCTTTAAAAATGTACACCACCAACATTAAACCATATAATCCATTGTTACTCAAATTATTCTAACAAGTAGAAAATTAAGTATGGTAATTCTATTAATGGTCATGTTTCATGTGAAAATTGTCATGAGGTTCAATAATAGCGGCACACGTTCACAGTAAGTGTTTAATTGGCAGTTTCAATACGCCGTCTTACTAGGCTTTAAAAATCAGGGTCCATTGGACGTGTTTAAAATGAACAAAATTTAGCACAATTGACACCTTAATTTTCCATGACACAGCTATCAAAATTGTTGAAAACCATCCACAAAAACAACAAATACCGCCACGATGGTGTGTAATGGTCAGTACACTCGGCTTGCAATTCACACGTCGCCGGTTCGATCCCCCCGGTGCTGCAGTCGAAACAACGATGCAAGTTTCCAAATTCTCTGCCCGCCCATCTAGTGGTACAGATAGGTGGACCACCGTTAGTCGACCACTGGCAGGTCACGTGTTCTGGTGGGGTAAAGTGTGAGGAACTCCCCATCTCGTCCAAGACGTCTGGCCAGTGTGGAAGAGTAGACCAAATTCAGGGACTCTCCAGAGCTGCCTAGAGTGGGGAGGCACTTCAATGAGCAGTTGTGTGAGCAAGCAATTACAGGGCTGCACCTTTGCCTTTTGAAATTACAAATAAGTATGCAGATTATTAACTTATTCTGTAATAAACATCCCTGTAGTTGCAGTGTTAAGTTTTGAGACTGTCACTTGCAGCACGGTAAGGTGAACCTCGCACTGAGTATGTGGACCTGCACAAACTTGTTAGTGTTACTTGCTGGATGGTGTTGTCAGCACAGCGTATGGCCCGCAATCAGGAAGGTTTTGCGTTCAAATCCCATGAAGGGGGTTGACCTAAATGTACATAAAATGAGTACCACTTTCTAGGAATTCAACAGAGGTCGCCCTCTCCTATGGAATAACTTTTCTCTGTCATGTGAATGTGGAATTTCCATCAACGGTGCAGAACTATGAGCATGAAATGAGTACTGCCGCATCTATTTGAGCACAAATCTACTGACATTTATTTTCCACGTCCTTTTCCAAAGGCAATGCCAATGCAAAGTCATTTGCAATGCATTGCCCTATGTCTTACTTCACAAAAGTGCAATGTGTTCCCTGTAGCGCTTAGCATCTGGTACTTGTAACATTTTTACAGTGCGTATGAACTTATCTTTGAATTATTAATTGCGTAGAAGTAAAGTTTTGCTTTTAACGGCCGTTAAGTTAAATGCGGAGTGTAATAAATTAGAGTTCTTTAACAATGGGCATTTCCTTTTGGCTTCCAATATTTAAAAGTGGGAAAACTGTAACTTAGCTTGTTTCCAAGTTTTAAGCTTTAATGTTTACGTTTAGCCTTATAAATCCCTGTAATCGCTTTCTGCTGTCGGGCTGAAGCTGTTGTATGGAAGAATAAATTGTGTCGACGTTAACTGTTGGGCTGGGAGTAAGGGCGAATTATTAGGCTGGCAAATTAATCTCTGTGGACAGGCTAACAATGTGCAGAGGAACAGAGCAAACTTTGGCATGGACCTTTTTCCCTTTTGTGGTATTCAACAATGTAACAGGGTCTTTTGTGTATACATGTGTACATGTGTGTGTGCATGTCCACGCATTACGATTGCATTGATTATTGTAGCTGCTACGATTGTACTGGACTTTTATTCCTAGCAACCTGAGTTCAATATTTTGGCAACGGTTCACTTAACCAGTGCAAATTGGAATGTGAACCCGACTCGTTGACTGAACGTAAAATCATTGACCTGTTTCAGAAATGTGCCAATATCAGCAATGAGACAAAGGCAACTGGGAATTGGCAACGTCGGTCACGCTAGGCCTGTATAAACTCTTGAAGTTGGGGTTGCAAGTAGCCATGGGGGCCATGTAGAGTAGCCAAGGCAGTTGTAAAGGCTATTGAGGGGGGGTTCAACATGTGGGTTTGGTCGTCCCCCCACCCCGTCTTGAAAGGAGTTAAAGTTGAGAGCAACGTCTTTTTCTTCCCTCTTTGTCTCTGCACCCATAGGCCTTAACCTCCTTCTCACTGTGTGCCATGCTGGCCTCAATAGATGCTGCTCGCTAAGAGTCCTTCCTCCGATACTCATCGAGGCTAAAATGGGACATCTTTGTATTGGAGATAGCTTTCCACTTTGGTTTGGAATGCCGTCTGTCCCTCTATCAGTTCTTTTGTTTGGGCATTTGAGGCATGTTTCTGTGCTGGGGAATTCTTCTTCAGGCGATGATTGAAGAGGCTTGGCCACGCCCGTGGCTGAAAGACATCCGTGGAAGCAAGCATCCTCCTGTGTGTAGCGTTACTGAGCTGTGCTGCACAGCAACAACGCGTGTTATCAGCACACTGTCCCGCATGGCAACACTATGAGTTTGAGTGGTGGAGTTGATGCATCACGCAACGCAACCCCTTCTCTGTTGATGCGTTTAGCCATTCCACACATGCCACTTTCCCTGCAACACACCAACCCTGTGAAATTCCAATATCGCTCTTTAAACAAACATTTTTTTTTAAATACCTGGCATTACTTGGCCTGCTTTTTCTGCATTACATGTCGGCAGTTATGAAGCCACAAAAAACCTTGTCTCTGTCTCTAGCTCTTAGAAACTTTCTGGCCTTGGAATTCAGGTGAATGTGGGAGATGCTAATGAATGTCACACGGCAGGGGAGGGTAAGTGACTTGTACGTTTGGAATAGAATGTCAAAAACACGGAGGCTTTATCGGGAGGATGAGGTTTCCATGGGTGGGACACGTACAGGATAGAGGAGGGCTGGCTTTTTTATTTTAACAAAGTTGCTGAGCACAGGCCCAAAATGTCAAGCAGCCAGCAACAAATTACGCTTGTAATAGATTAGGATTAACGCGGTTTTTTTAAATTGAGCAAGGAAAAGAGAATATGAGAGGGAGATCCAAATTCAAGCATTGCGATGAAAGAAGCAGAATAAATCTTTTGACTTGCAGGATGGTTGAACGCAGTATGGAGGAGACAAAACAGTCGGTCCTGGAGGAATCAAATAGTGAAGTTCGCGAGAACAGTAACCATGTGAGTAGCAAAAGAATAGCGACAAGGAGAAGGCATGGAGTGGCACCCAGAGATTGGTGATTGCGGGGAAGAGCTAGTGCCAGATGGTGCTGATGAAGCATGCTTACAATGAAGCCAGTGCAAGAGTGCCCTGTACATGGCGGCTGTCAGCTGTCTAATGACTGAGGGATTGAGTAGAATGAAGCATTGGTGAGCTGTGTCAACGGCAGCATTTAGTTGCGATGATATCTTGACTCGATGTTTTCAGATTCAAGGAAGCTGCAACCCAAAAAAAAACGAGTTATATTTTTTTATTGTCGGCATTTACCTAGGCTGTGCAGATTTATTAGTGAGTAATTAATATAAAGTCACTGCCAGGCACCCTACCATAGCACTTAACGTTGCTGAGATAATGACATTAAAGGGTACAGCAGTGACGTTACTCTGTCATGGCACACTTAAAAGTAATACAAAAATATTTTTTGTCTCAATGAAGCTTAACTTTTGTTGGACAATCCCAGGATGGTCAGGTTAGGTACATGTCTACAGAATAAGGGCCGTGTACAGTACTTGTGGAATGGATTGCATGATGAAAGTATAGGTTTAAATTGTCATAGGTAAAACCTATTGGGCAATAAACTCTCATGTTCAACGTGGACTCTGTTACATCATATATAAACTTGGTTACACCAGCAACAATACAACAACAACAAACCTAGGAGCGGCCATGAGTGCTGAGGAGCATTCAGGAGCTTGTTGCAACCCTCAGAGGTGGATAGAGGAAGCGCCTAAATACCACTCGTAATTTTTGTCAGGTTCTAGCTCGTTGGCTCTTATCACATCGTGTGGGAGGAGGAGCTCTTCCACTCTTCCACTCTTCCTGAGCGAGAAGAGAGGCTTTCATCAACAAAAACTTGGAGCGGGTTTTTTGGGTCACGTCCGCGAAGAATGTGGCTGCTACCGCCGCTGCGTGCGTTGTGTTGTGACGGTGCATGTCGTGTGCGGGAATTAAGAGCAGACACTTCACCGCTTTCTCGGTGTACGTTTCCTTTCTCATCTGAACACATTGCTTGCACACCTTTGTGTTTCAGAGAGATGCAGGGTGAGGCTGTACAATGTCAAATCTGTCTTGTATAAAATATATGAATAAAGCTTAGGCAGCTAACTTAGTCAAATAATAATTGCATATTCCACGTAACTTTAGAGTCATCTTGTGTCAATATTGTGTTCATGCTGTTTTCCTACCACTACTTAATGTGCCTAAATTGCGTAACTGCACAGCAAATCCAAGCGCATTTGGTTTGCAAGATTTATAAATATAGCCAAGTGCGTTGCCATCCTTAAGTGCCGAGGAATGCAGTGCGCATTGATATACTGTGCTGCATAGTAAACACGTGTTTGCATAACTGGGCCCTGTGAACACTGGTTGCATTAGAGCAGGGGTCGCCAAACTACGGCCCGCGGGTCGGATGCGGCCCGCTTGCCGGATGTGGCCCGTGACGTCAGTCCATCAGGCCCGCTGACGGCACTTGAATTTGGTTGATAAAACCTATGGAACACGAGACTTTGTGATGCAATTTAAATATGTTTAGAATATTAGGAGATCTTCACGAGTGCGGAGACCTCCTGACTGCTATGTTCCTTAAATGTAATATTTTAAATTGTATCTATATTTTCTTGTTTATTGCAATGTTTGCTTATTTCGCGCCATCCCAAGTACTTCCTCGGCTCGTGGTAGCTCCGCCTACGCTCTGACGTTACCATGGTTTCCATGGCAACGTCATGGCAACACGTTACCATGGTTTCCACGGCAACGTCATGGCAACACGTTACCATGGTTTCCATGGCAACACACACAAACACGCATCTTTTCCCGCCCCCAGATTTTCCAGCTGTCAACACAGGTCCGACGCTCCAGAAATATTTATTTATTATGCGGCCCGCGCTTGTCATTCTTTCAGTTATCCGGCCCACTGTGAAAAAAGTTTGGTGACCCCTGCATTAGAGGAATGAAACATGAACGTGAGATAGGACTGCAGGCTATCGTGGAGAGGTGCGACGTCAAGCGGATACCAATAGCCTTCCTCATTGTGTGAACTTTCATGGCACTTTGCAGGACGTAGTGTAGGTGTATACAGCACTTCAGGATTATGTCAGCAAAAGTATCTATTTGAGTGGGGGAATGGTGGCGCAATGGTTAGCACACTGCAATATTTAACCCAGCGACCCGAGCTTGATTGCCAGCCATCGAGTGACATTTGTACCGGTCCGAGCCTCCCTCTTCACCAACTGACACTGACCAGCGTATGGTCAAACAATCCCCTTGACCAACACAACATCAGGGGGGGGGAGGCCTTCATCGAGCAATAGATGGACGGAGCTGTAGAATTATTTTATTTATTATTAACGCTAAAGTGTGACTGCGTGAAATACGATTTACCTGTGCATTCCTAAGCGGAGATACAATCCAAAAACATGCAGCCATTACTCTTTGGTTCCTTCGGTAAGTCACGTAGAAAGAAAATAAATAATAGAATACGACGTTTCGATTGCAACACAAGCAACAGTCACCAGGTGTGTGTTTGTCTCTCTGTGTGTCTTTCTGTGCGTCTCCATGCCTGTGTTTGTCTCTCTGTATATTTGTCTCTCTCCGAGCTTGCATTCACACCTGATGACGGTTGCTTGTGTTGCAATCGAAACGTCGTATTCTATTTTTTTCATACGTGACTTTACCGAAAGAACCAAAGAGTCATTCCTGCAGTCACGAAAGCTTCAAATCAAGTTTGAACCACCTCTACGGGGAGGATTTCCACACAACTCATACTTAACTTCAAATTGAGCAATCCTTGGAAGAACGTGTTAGCCGACTGTTGCATTGCATTACAGTTCCAAGTCTACTAGGTTTCTTTTCTCAAACTTCCAATTTCTCTCCGCCTGCCGCTCTCACTGACACGCTAATTTCTCTGCCCCAACCCCTCTATATAATACCTCGTCACAGAGGCGTTTGTCTGTGTGCGTCTCTCTCTCTGCGTGTGCCTCTCTCTGTGTGTCTCTCTCCGTGTCTGTGTTTGTCTCTCTGTGTCTCTCTCCGAGCGTGTATTCACACCTGATGATGATTGCTTGTGTTGCAATCAAAACGTCGTATTCTATTATTTATTTTATTTTCTTTCTACGTGACTTTACCGAAAGAACCAAAGAGTAATTACTGCAGTCACGAAAGCTTCAAATCAAGCAGACATTGTGGAAGCGTACCTGAGCAGCGTGCCCTGGACTCTGACACAAGCTGGTGCTTCTTTGTCGAGGGAAAATACTTTTAAAGTTGTAGTTAAGTGTGCCGCCATAGTGTACATGCCGGTGATGTTTCCGCATTGTTGGAAAAATGCATGAGAGTGACATCACTAGAGTGCTATAATGGCATGCCGAACTGTTAACGTTTAGTAAATGTCATTAATTTATTCAGAAAAGCCTTAATGAGTCTCGCCGCTTTTCATCTGGCGTACTCCTGCGTCGGGAGTGTTTTGTTCTTTTTCTCTTCGATCGTTGCTTTGCATGCGTGAGGAATCCGGAGCACCCTGGAACAAAATGTATCCATATGCAGGCAGGTCCATTAAGGCAGGTCAGCAACCCACTTGCTCTACTGCTACCTCCTGCTCAGCTGGCATTCCCAGCGGGTTTGGAATTCTCAGAGCACGGAATTTCAGTCCGCACAGTTCACCTACCCTGCCTGCAAGAGGGCTGGACTATAGGCGTGCGTTACAACGACCAGCTGCAATGTTTACAATGGTTTTATGTTGACATGGCGCTGCTAGCTACTGGGAATGGCTCTTCGTGTGATGTCTCTTGCAGCTTGGGGTCCATGCTGTCGGACAAGGCTGAAGTGATACCGATGAAGACTGCAAGACAGGAGGACGACCCATAGGAGAGTCACATGCGCTGTTGCAACTCGTGGCTAATTATTATTATAGCCACCTCGAGCTCGGAGTCTTAAGGCGATTTAATAAGTTCTGTACGCATACTTTAAAGATGCAGTATTTTTGTGAGCTAATGAAAGCAGAATTTTGCCAACGCAGAGCCAAACTATACCGCCACAGTGAAATAAGCTTAAAGGTTAAACAGAATATACTGAAACACATTAGCTGGTTTAAATGCTGATGGAAAATTACTGGTTTTGTCACCTACCATTAGATTCCAGAATTTACACCATTGGCTCCGTGCTGCAATGAAGATGAGCATTGTCCCGCGCTCGTGTGACTAGGGAGACGTGCTTACTAACTCGTAGACCTGCATGGTGCAGCGTAACCCAGTGGCATTTACTTATCAGGTAATGACTCACTGAAGTCAAAACAGATCTAATTTGCCTTAAAATTAAGTGTTCTTGCGATATATTATTCCAGAAAACACATTGATCATGAAAATAAATGCTATTTTATTTTGGTTACTGATCATACACCTGTTTATTCGTGAAAAAAAGTTGTGTTTCTGCGGGCTGCATGGTTTCAGCTGATAGCTCCAACTGTATTTTTTACTGCTAAATGCGTTCTTTTGTACGGAAATTCGAGTCGCCTAAAATTTGTATCGTCGGATTAAACTGGCCACCTCGGTGGTTTGTAAAGAGATTGGGCTCTACCTTAGGAACGTTACAGTTCTACCACTGGCTCATGTTGCTAGGAGAAATGAGTACTGCGCAGTGCTCGTGAAATCACCTTGACTTTGAAGCAATGGAAGCTTTACCAATTGTGGCTAGCTCTGGATTTGATTTTTGAAAAATTAAACGTGATGCTATAATATTGCACGGAGTAGCATATGTCATGCGAGCCTTTTTTGTTATCAGTCGCTGTATTCCATGAAACTGGGTTATTTTCCAAATGTTTCTTAATTTTGGTACATTTTGTACGGCGCTTTAGTTTGTAAGGCCGGCTTGGCTCTGAACATGGCACTTAGTGAAGCTTAATCTTTGCCTGCCTTACCTGGTTCCCTTGCATAAGTATAATTTGCAAGAAGCAAAACTTGAAAACCTGTTCGTGTACACGCGGTGCCTCTGTATTGGCTCATGTTGTGATGCACAAGCGTGCGTGTGTGTGCGTGCGTGCGCGTGCGTGCGTGTGCGTGTGTGCGCAAGCGTGAGAATAAACAACAATGTGCTTGCTCTGCAGCGAGCGCATTGACGCATGGGCTGCCAGCTGTGCTCTGCGGAAAAAATCCATATGCGCACGTATACTGGCGCAGAAGGGAAGTGAAATTGTTATGCTAATTGTGATGCGATAATAAAATCAAATTGGACGATGCCGAAACGTGCAAGCCTCCCGTACACTCAAATAAATCTCTTGCGCGGTAAAAACAAAATAGCGGGTAAAACCGTGGAACAGATGCCACTGATGTCTGGACACTATTGCGGTGGCAGTTGGTGTGAGTGAGACTTAGTGGAGTGTGGGAAGTGCATATTGGCTAGTCAATGCGCACAGAAGTAGGGTCATTGACAGTTGCACTGCAATAGAACATGCATTAGCTCTAGCTGCTTGTGGTTATCAAACTAATCATTGAGTCTCATCAACATTCTTGCTTTGACCTTTTTGGTCATTCCAAGCGTGCACATACCGCATGTGAATTGATTTTATTGGTGCATAAGTGGACTGGTGGTGGAGTCTGCTCACGGAGTTTACGAATCACGTATACAGTAATGTCTTTGTCTTTTGTCAACGTGACACTTTTTTGCTGATTGGCCGTGTCGGGTGGTGGAGGGTTACGACACATTTATAAATAACGCGATCTAACCCAAAAACCTTTATTATGAATAATATTGGTCGCGAAAGCCTAAGTAGTGTCTTTAGAAATCTGTTGTGACATTATCAGGTCTGTCCTTTTGTATGACATTTCGAAAGCCATTGGACCGTATTTGTGGTGATAATGAAGAGTATGGGTTTCCTTTGGTGCAAAAATGACAAAGGAAAAAAATGTTTACTTGCCCGAAAAACCAAAGGGTACATTGGAGTTTGCAGCTGTGGTGCAAATGGTATTGACAAGGATGCATCATCCATCATTATTTGTAATAATAAAATAATGACCGCCTGGAAGCTTGCGTTGTCTCTTGCGCTTGTGTGGTGCTTAATGTGGCTTCTAAGGGACAGGATTTCACTTCGCAAATGACAACAACAAAAAGCTGTCGTCGGTGTGCAATTATCAGAGTGGTTAGAAAGGAGCATTGCTTGCCCTTATGCTGTGGCTCAGCCACGTTAAAATTGTACGCACTATACTGTTGTACATTGACAACCCGTGCTGTTCATTTTAATAAAGGCAGTTGGATCCTTAACAGTGTGAATGTTACAAAAAAAGCGATTCGATCTGGTCATTGCGACGATTTACCGTGCATTCTGATTGAATCGCCTCCAAAAACCCGAATTGACGTTCGGCGTCTGATGCACACAATAACTGCATTTGACCATTCCCATTGAAGATTGGAATAACAACAACAACGTGCGTGTAATGTTTTTTAGGAGAGAGAAAAAAACATGCATTGTCAAGATGTTTAATTTACTTTGTGTGAACACGTGGTTTAATCTGATGCTGCAATGGGACAAATTGCAACATATCTCGGGACATGTATTGATTCAATTCCAGCATGAGTCAATTCAAAATTACATTTGTTGACCTTGAGTGGAAGTACGGTTCCCAGGAACCAATCACAAACAGCATAACAAAAACATAGTCGATGAAACGTGCGATGTGATGCATCTCGTGAGCATCGGGCTTTTTATTCAATGAATCGTGACATCCCTAGTTAATAATGATGCACAGGCAGTAGACAATTTACTGTTTAATTCGCAAGAGTTGCTGATGCGACGTAAACTAACAGACACGCGTTATTTCCATCCGGGGATTACACTGGGGACTTGCGTGAGCCTTGAAAAGGACTGAACGGGCTAAAGGAACAAGGCAGCTTTTATAAAACATGTAAAAAACATATCTGTACTGGGTGAAACTACAGTCTCATCGACTTAAAGCTTTCGTGACTGCAGGAATTCATATCCTTTGGTTCTATTCGGTAAAGTTTTATACTTTTACGTGACTTTACCGAATAGAACCAAAGAGTATGAATCCTTGCAGTCACGAAAGCTTCAAATCTAGAAAGGAATTCATATTATTTGGTCTTTCGGTAAAGTACACGCAGATATATTTATTTGAACCTATCCGTGACTTTACCGAAAGCTTTAAGCTTTACCGAAAGACCCAATAATACAGTCTCATTTTTCAAGAGGGTCCTGCTCGAAATGTTTGGCCGATCCCTAATTGAAACCTTAGTTTGTGGAAAAGAACAAGCGCTAGGAACCCGGCGGCCCGAGTTTGATTCCCACTGGCGGCCAACACCAATGACGATTATTGGAATCGGTCCTGGGCCTACCCTAGGTCGACTCAGCCTCAATATAAGTACCTCGTGCGGTGTGTAAACATCACCACTCGGGAGACAAAGGCGGCCGGGCGTGGTGCTGGCCGCTCACCCCGTCGTGTGCTGTGCTGGTCTTCATAGGTGCTCGCTAACAGCACTTGCCCGAGCAATCTGTTAAGGCTATACGGGGATCTTTATCTTTTTGTGTGCAGGATGGAGGAGGACCAATTGATGAGACAGACATTGGGGCGGTCTCCACAGGTATGGCGATCGTCAGTAACACTGCTAAAGCCTAAAAGGCAACGTGTATATAATAGGTGACGCTTTGGGAAATCGCCCCTGATCGTACGTAAAGAAGTGCATTAAGGGCCATTGCCGGAAATGTCACCTAAAATATACTTTTCATTTTTAGGCAGTGTTATTGATGTATGCATTGAATAGTTTTACTGGTAGGCAACCCACAGGGGATTATTGTGTCTGTCCGTCCGTCGTGCATCCAAAAATGGGAGGGGTGGGGCTGGATTGGAGAGGGGAGGGTGGGGAGGGGCTGGGTGGAGAGGGGAGGGTGGGGTGGGAGGGGCTGGGTGGGGAGGGGAGGGTGGGGAGGGGCTGGGTTTGGAGGGTGGGGCTGGGTGGGGGGTGGGAGGGGTGGGGCTGGGTGGGGAGGGGCTGGTCACCCCGTGGTGCCCTTATAAAACTCAACGTTTAACCTACTCACGCCGGCTTGTGCCCGCCCTCACAGTCGGGCATATTTGCGGAATACACCACGTGGTGCCGCCGTTGACCCTGGCCATTGACCGAGCAACCCAACGTTCCTACCAGCTCCCTCCGCATGAATGTGTGTTTTTTTTATATTTGTGCATATGCACAACTGCCAACGCGGCATCACCGACGCATATTTATTGTAGGAGTCGGCATGTATGTTTAACTTTGTTCGCACCCTACCTAACCAACCGTGCTAATTGGAGGTGCAGGGGAATGAGGACAATCTAAACACAAAAGCAGTTCTAAATAAATGAGTTTTCAATCTAGGTAATATTAAGATGCATAGCTCCAGTAGCTTCCTAATATTGTAAGGAAGAGCGTTCCAGATGGCCACAGAAGCGCATCTGAAATCGCGCGATGCAGTGACCGTCATTGTTCGACGGATAGCCAAAAGCCGCTACTGCGAGGATGACCAGAGTTCGCGTGATGATTTCTGCTCCTTGACAAGATCAGCAAGGTTACCGTGTACTGTGGTTCATTTGTGGCAAGCATGTGCTGCTCCCTGGCGGATGTCTCTCAAGATGCGTGTGGACCGGCACCCTGTGCGGTTCCAACGGGGAAATGTGCGTGCTTGGAATGCTTGCTGGTTCGGGTTGGAATGCTGTACAATATGCGGCTCCGTATCGTTCCTAGAAAGGAGGGTTTTGGCTTTGAGCCCCGAGGGCGTGTTCGTGCGCACAGCCAGACGTAAGCCTCCAAATCTCACAAAGCTGACATTCGGACAGAGCCTCAAGGGCAAGAGGCTTGTCATCTTGAATGTTCATTTTCATTATTTGTTTTGTTGCAAAAAAACTAACTAACCGATGTCTAAATTTACCGACGAGAGGACAAATTGCCAAGGCGATGTGTTTAAAGTGTTTGGGCCCAGAGTGTTACCATGCTCCAACTAGCCATGGGGCAGCTTTCATCCCCACCGCTAATGAGTGGTTGAGTTGAACATTCTCATGGCAGGAGACAGAATATGCATGTAGGGTAACCGCCGTTTATTGGCTTCCCAACTGGCATTTCAATTCGTGGCATTATGTATTGTGAAACAAAATTTGTGAGCCACGTCGATAAAACTCTAAACGTGTCGTTGAAATGACCGCAAGGAGACCGTACGCTGCTTTCACTTTTATTATGGATCGTCAATGCAGTCGCCCAGGCGTGCTTCTGCCATAATGATGCCTATCGCTGACAAAGAGCGTTACGTCCTGAACGAAACCGCGGGGCCTTTGTGCAAATGTAAATTTGAGCATTCTTACAATGCCACAATCTCGAAGGAAATATAAAATTACGCGAGCCGCATTTTAAATGACACGAGGTAAAATACCACACAGCGCCGTAGGGAGAAAACCCACAATGCCTTGGAGTGTCCCGAGAGTGAACATGAAGTCACGTGGGGGTGGAGCAGTCGTGCAAAGGTTCGCACATTGCACATGCCAAACTCAGTTCGATTTCTGGCCCTGGCTAACATCAACTGATGAGTAAATACCTCAACAACTCCTGATTCCCCGTCTCACCACCAACCCGCAATGACCAGCATGGAAAGCTTTGGTCTGACTGGCAAGACGTCTAATATATGATTCACACTCTGCTCAAGAGATGTCGACATCGGGCGTAAAATCAGACGTGGAAACGAGCCCATTGTCCTCCACGGATATATCCCACGTGTCCAATGACAGCGGTCTCCGACGTGATTTCAAATCTGTTCAAGAGGAGATAACTCATCACGACGGAAACATTACTGCAGGCTGGAAAAAAATGTACAGCATCGCATGTGAATTATTTATTGTATTGTTATACAATGCTTTGCTGATCTTATACTATGCTTTGTTGATCTCATAAGCCATCACGCAAACTTCGGTCATCCTTGCAGCAGCTTTTGGCTCTCCATCGGTCACCGCATCGTCACGCGTTCAGGTGTGCTTCTGCGGCCGTCTGGAACGCTCTTCCTTACTATATTAGGAAGATACTGGAGCTATGCACCTTAAACTCACCTATATTGAAACTAATTTCTTTAGAACTATTTGTTGTTTTTAGTTTCATAATGAAGGTTTTTGGGTTAGATCGCGTTATTTATAAATGTGTCGTAACCCTCCACCACCCAACACGGCCAATCAGCAAAAAAGTGTCACGTTGACAAAAGACAAATAGTTCACTACTTTAGCCCACCGTTGTGTTGAAGAGTGAATCCACAACATTTACAGTTTGAGTACGACGTTTCGCTGGTAATTACATCCAGCATCATCGGGCAATTCGCCAGAATGGTAAAGCCCTCACTTGCTCCTGGTCTTAAATAGAGCAGCAGGGTGACGTCATCATTTAACTCATTCAGGTGCAGTGATTTGAGGCGGGGGGGGGTATTGTAATTATATAATCGATTGGTAATCAGTCAATGGTTATGATTAGTAATGAGTTGTAGATTAGTAATTAGTTGTAATGTGTGTTATTGTGATTATATGCTACGCTACTAATCCGTTAAATAGTATGAGTTTCCCCTATAAGGAATTGTAATATGTATTATTTAATAATACGCCTCCAAGCCGCACTAAGCCTGTAGCTGTCAGAGCGATTAAAGTTATTTCTATCTCTCTCAATTTCAATTGATTCTCTAATTAGTCTTGGCCAGTAATAATTAGTTTTTCACAACACTTCAACGTTATCAAAATCAATTGAGTGTCCTTGTTGGCAAGCATGTTCTGCCACTGCCGATAGTTGTGTTTGAGAAAATTTAATATTTCTTTGGTGTTCTTTTAGTCTTATGCTGATGTTACGTCCCGTCTGTCCAATATAACATCTGCCACATAAACAATTAATCCGATATACACCTTCTGTTGATAATTTAGGTAATGTGTCTTTGGTGCAAGATACTAGTTTTTGAATTTTGTGTACTGTACCAAATCTTACTGTAATGTTTTGCTTTTGCAAAACACGGGCTAATTT